TTTGCAGAATTCATGTGAAAAGCAGAAGAGTTAACATAGCACAGTTGTTTTCATGTGAGATAATGTTATTCCCAAGATAATGGCATTAATTTCGGGTGCCTCCTGTTACTAGCATTGTTATTTAAGAGTTTTTTTTCTTTAAGGCAGCAACTCACTGTTTAAAAAAGGTGGTGTTAAGGCAAATATTAAAGCTATGTGTGTGGAAAATTATTCTTTTATCTCTTCATAAAAAGACAGGAACTTCTTGTTAGAGGCCTTCCTTTGTTGTTGCTTGCAGTTTGATTCTCATGTTTAAAATGTAGAAAACTTACCCCTTCTTAGCACAGGACAGCTTTTAGTTTTGTTACAACTAGGGTGGACAGGCTGCTTGTTGAATAGAAAAAATAATTCAAAATATAAATTCTCAGTTCTGGAATTTTTAGTTTTCCAACAAAATGGTAGGTATTATAGAAGACCAGATGATGTGTGCAGGCTTCTTTTTGCTTGTCTTAATTTTGTTGATAAGTTCAGTTTTGTTACAGGAAAAACTGGGCTTGCTTTATAAGCAGTTGTATAACAGGAACTGGATGGGCAGGAGGTGAAAAATGTGCAAGGCTTCAGTGTCAAAGCAGAATTGGAGGACTGGAACAAACTTCTCCATCTAACTTCTTGCAGAAGTATTAGATTGCGCACGCATGGCTTTCTGAATTTGCCATCATCTTAAATGAACTCTATTGAGTATGTTCTGAAAACATGCTAACTCAGTGATTGTCAGTGGTATTTATACAATTTTTTCAGCACTCTGATAATTGGATAACAAATGCAGTCCAGGCATTTACAACTGGAAGATTTAGAATCATTCTGATTTACATTTTGCCTTAGCTTTTGAAATGTATCTTCTTTCATTTTGTCAGTGATGCTCAAATGCTAGTAACCCTGAGGTATAAATGATAATAGTCTAGCAAAAAAGGGAACTTGTCAGGATTACAGGTCTGCCCAGGTGCAAGAACCTCATAATATTACATTTACTGCTGGAAAAGTATGAACAAATTGCTCTTCATTGATAAAACTCCTAGAAAATAACTTGGAAGAATAAATAGTGCTAGAGGATACTATGCTCAAGTGGAATTTTCAAAATTATCAGTCTCAAAGTGAACCTCGCTGAGTCCACTGTAATTTTACTTGAGTTCTTTATGTAATTCTGAAAATCTCATCTGCGGCGATGATGCTGGTTGAAATTACAAATGAAAATCACCTTCTCATTTGCAAGAGATGACAGAAGACTGTATAATCAGGAGTGACATGGAAAGGCTGAATGGCAATCAAGTGCTCCTTGCCTCTTCCAAAAGAAATGAGGAGGCAGTAATGAAACTAATGGGTTTGAAACAAAAGGTTTGGTTCTTTTGGTTTGGTTCCCCCTCCGCACGCACACATAAAATGTGAACTTTTTACTGCGGGATGCTGCGGATGTTAAAAACTTTATATGAGTTCAAAGGGAGGTGGGACGGGCTCACAGAAGGAGAAACGTTAGCATTACTGAGGACACAAACACATCTGACCCAGGAGGTCCTGAGATACGCCTGGTGAGGTGGGACAGCACTTGGACGAGAGAAAGCCATCGTGTGCCTCTCCTGGTGTTACCTTCTTCCCCAGGACCCAGCCTTGGCCACACCGGGAGGCAGGACTGTCGATCAGCTGAATGTTTGGGGTCTGCTCCGCTACAGCCTGATCTTGTGAGCTCTTTTTCAATCTTTGCTTTTCTCTGGCTGAGGTTACTTACTGTAGAAATAGAAGTTTGGAGGTTGATTCCAGTTAAGGATTTCCTACCCGCCTGAAGTATCATCAGTAGGTTTTTTTTAAGCACTTCTAGGTGAAAACTATAAAGACATATTTGACTTGGTATTTCTTTAAATGTCAAAGGCATGTATACTGAGTGAAACAAATTTTGACTTGCATTCTGTTCCTGAGAAAGCCAGAAATTAAAATTTCAAGCAGAATATAAAAAGTATAAAATGGGAAATATTTTGCTTTTAAAGTAGTGGTATGTTGAGGTACATCAGAGGTGTTGATAGCAAGTTTGTTTCTTTTTCCTTGTTTTTTGAAACTGCCCGTTAATTATCTAGTTATCAGTGGCTGCCTACCTTGGTGTAGATCAAAAAAAAGCTCGGAAGCAACCTAATTTTCACTGCTTTTATTGTTATGGTAAGCGTACAGTATCTGCACTCTGTAGATGAAGAAACCAGACTACAAAGAACAAATTTGTGAGTTTTGACCCTGAAACTGAACTCCTAACCCCCCCTCTATAAGCATATGAGTAAAAATAATGTACTTCTAGGAAGTACTGGATGCAACACATTCAGGTGCTCAGGAGCTCTGACAATATAAACCTTTTTTTTTATTTCAGATGCCTAGGCACGACTTAAGAGCATAACCCCTCATCTAGATTTAAATTTTGGCATAAGCTCTTACCAGAGAGACAGAAGAGTCGGTATAAAAGGCAGGAGCAGAGGGAGGGAGTGCAGCTATTCAGGAATGTGCCGGTGAAAACGTTGCTGCATCCACAGCTCTCCAGGATAATCTTGTTGCAGAACTGGAAAAGGTGGAGAAAACCTCATCCAGCCCTGAATAGCTGGTAGTGGGAGGTACAGGTTCACCCCACCCTCTTCCGAATCGGTCAGATCAGGAATTTCTCAAGTAATGGTCAGATTCTCTAAATTACAGATGTTGCTTTTTTGACTGTCTTCTTTTTTGGTTTTGTAGTTTTGTTTTGTTGGTTTTTTTCCCCTGTGAAAAGGGTGAAGTATATTTAACAATAAAAAACATAAAGCTTCCTCAAACATTTTTGAGATACCAAGCTGTTAACTGGTTGGAAAGCTATTGTACTGTGTTGCACTACGCTGTCGCAAAAAGCAGAAGCAACTGCCCTGGAGAGTGAGTGCACGGCAGAAAAAGCTATCTTCACGCTTCCCCAGGCTCTTTGAGCTAATACACACCAAGGAGAGTCTGGTTTAAAGGGGAGTACCCGTACGTGTGACTTTATCTGCTTGTTCTGCTTTGAAGTCAGTGATTTCTTTTTTTTTTTTTTTTTTTTTTCCTTTCCCTTTCGTAATCTCAGAAAGCAGCTCCTCTTTATCAGGGTGAGGCTGCGGGGTGCTCGCTGCTGTAGCGCAGAGGTGTTGTTGAACAAGTTGTCACTCAACCCAGTAACAGCTTTGCCAAGTACTGGGAGAGCAGTAGCCCGGGCACGTAGCCTGGTGGTGACATTAAGGATTTTAGTCTCAAAGTCTTTGGAGGGAGTCTAGTGTGAAACAGGCTCTTTAGAGAGAGATGCATTGAGGAGACATTAGAGATGCATATCTGGCTTTTGAACTTTGAATGTCAGTGACTTTGGATTTGTCAGTGCCGTATGGAAAACATATAGAATTTCTACTCGTGCTGGGGGTTTCATGCATTTTTCCGAAGTCAGATATGAATCGGAAAGTTTAGGATTCCCAACTAAGATAACTGCCTATTTTCAGATATTATGCAGACATATCTATGCTGTCTTTGTAGCATAAGCTCATACTATTTGAATTTTCCTTTCATAAGTTGTGTGGATAAAGATTTAAAATGCTGTTAAATTTAAAATTCAATCAGCATTAGTTTCTAGCAGCAGTCTTTGAGTAACTCAGTCTTCCAGTAGCAGTAGGCAATGTACAGTTGATTTATAACAATTAAGCAAAAGCTTTGCAAAGGGAAGTGAACTCAATCAGATAACATATCGTATACTCTGACAGCTCAATATGTGTTTTCTCTGACATGCTTCCCTATACTGCCCTGAAGTAAAAATGCCTCAGTGCTGTATCTGTGTTGCAACCGACTGCCCTAAATCTAAAGTGCAAATTCATTTTAACTCGGTTCTTAGTCTTGACTCCATTGTTTTGGGGGAGGAAAAAACAACACTTACTACTTACTTTTACCTTTTAAATATTTGTTTATTTTACAGTGATATTAAATTAATTTTGAGGAAAATGTACGCAGTGTTCTAATAGCTGGGAAACATACATAGCAGGACGTTTTAAAGCACTTTTGTCTATATATTCCTGTTTGTAACAGTAATATACATATATTTCTCCTTTTACATGGCTCTGACTTTTCAAAGTGTCTCAATTAATTTTGCTAGCATGTACCCCCGAGTAATTTATTTTTATACTTTATAAAGTTTGCAAGAAAATAGCATTTGAAATTTTAAATGCCCATGTTAAAAATATTTCTAGGACACAAAAGATTGAGAGGAAGTTTCACTCTAAATTACTGTGTCTTGAATTTCTTTATGGGACACCAAATAGTTTCCTAGAAGAAATATTTGGGTTCATCCACATGCTCATTTCTAGTTAGTAAAGGTCATGTTTTTCTAAGAAACTACTACTTTGAGATTGAATTACCTTATTTTGCTCAAAAGTCGTGTTGAGTTGAACTTCCCACAAAAGAGTTTTAATAAAGTGCTACTGTACCTAAAGCACTAACTTCAGTCATCAGAGGTTATTTTGTTATAATTACGCAGGCATTTGAGACAGAGGTGAGAAGAAAAACCAGTTTGTCCGAGTTGTTTCCAGATGCCCTGAACTACCAGAAGATTTAATTGCTTTATGGGGGCCAGGCTCGTGGAGAGAGCATGTATTTTATCAGATAAACCTGGGAGAAACAAAGTTCTCGTAGCCCGTTGATCGAAGCCTCCTATGAACGTAATGGTCCGTAAGAAGGAAGGTGCGGGGAGAAAGTCGGGAGGGAGGAGTAAGAGAGGGAGAGGAGAAAACTTTGGAGCAGGCACGGTAGCTGGGGTGATAGGATCAATACGGTGCTGTTTAAACCAGGTAGTTTCACCCCCGTCCTCTGTAACTTGGAAACCAATATCATTATTAAAAATGAGCAATTGTTTTAACTTCAGAAAAAAACCACCTACTTTTTGTGTTTGACTCGACAGTCTTTGGACTTTGGTTGACCTAATCCAAAACCAAAAGTTCATTTTTAACGTACGAGCTGTCAGAACAGACGGTTGACACAAATTCTTAAAATACTTCTTCTGTGTACTATTATGCTTAACACTTTTACAGTCTTATCATAAACTTTTCTGATGTGAAGGAAGCATAACATATACATATCAGAATATATTTCCGCAGCTGAAGAAATGTGCAGGCTTCTAATTCCAGTTTAGTCCCAGCAGTCTTTTAATACACTTTATATTGTAGAGTCACTGTCAAATATTTTCATTTTTATGGTCTGAAGGCTGTGTTGAATGAAGTTCTCTGAAACTGGCCTTTCGGAGAATCTGATGTCCCGTGGTCTAGTGGACCGGTTCTTTTTTATCGAATTTTGAATTGTATCCGATGTAAAGTAATAAACTATAGGGTCAAAACAGCAGTTTGAAACGGCGATGCACAGGGTGACGGGGTACATGGTCCTGACTGCAGTTACCACTGAACAATTAATCCAGGTCTGCGTTCTCATAAGGGAGTAAAGTATTAAGGTAACGTTATAAGGCACAAAGCAGAAGCAGAATATCACCAAATGGACAAAAATCATTTTGAGTACCTTTTTCTTGCTTAATTTATTCCGACTTAATGTAAGCGGTTTATTCAGAGTCCGTAAGACCATAGTAGAGCAGGTCACGTTCAAGATGAGCGGAATAAAAAACCCAACTATTTCAATGAATATAACAATCCGGGATAGGTAGGTTTTCCACGTGTCCTCCGAAAAGTTTTCAAAACACGTTCTTTGTTCAGTATTATTACGGCGGTTTGTAGACTGGAAAAAGCTTGCCGGCGTGCTGCCCGTTAACACGGTTATCCATACTGCAGCGCAGACAATTTTTGCGTTCCTTTTGGTTCGGAGAGTCTTGGATCGAAAGGGGTGTACTATGGCTAAAAAGCGATCTACGCTGATGCAAGTCAGAAACAAAATGCTCCCGTACATATTTGTATAAAAGAGGGTGACGGAAATCTTGCAAAGAATGTCTCCAAATGGCCAGTTTCTCGCTACAAAGTAGTAAATCCTGAAGGGTAATGTAAACACAAAAAGCAGATCCGAGATTGCTAAATTAAGCATGTAAGTCGTAGTCTCGTTTTGCACTTTTAGTGTACAAGTAAAAATGTAGATAGCAACACAGTTTGCTATGAGGCCGAGAACAAACACCATGCTAAAGATACACCCATATAAAGTATATTTAAAGGAGTCCTCAGTGGAACAATTAGAGCTTACCATTATAATGGTGTATTTAAAATTCCTGTGATTTGGAGGTTTCTCTGGTGGTTTTATTGCAACTTTTCTTAAATTCCAGAATAGCTTGCAGATGTATTTGGTAAGCTGGTTGCACAGTACAGCTTCAGAGGAGAAACGCAGGCTCTGCGGCAGGGGAGCACATCTCCAGCAGCAGTCGCCGGGACGTCGCTCTTCTCTTCCGAGCGCTACTTGTAATCACATAGCCGGTCTTTGAAAGTCGAAAACCCGTATCATTTGTGGCGGATGAGGTCATCCCAAAGCTTGCTTAGTTCCATTTCGCCCCCCCACCTCGATTCGATGAAGCCGCCGTAGAACTTTCTGCCTTATTCTTGGCTGCAGATCACGACGGCGAAGCCTCGTCCATCCGAATCTGCCGGGAACGTAGGCTTTAAAAAAGGATTTCCCCAAAGCGTCGGCACTCGCGTTTCTCCCTCGGCCTTCCGTCTGTAAAAGGAGCTTTCGCGGGGTGGGAAGCAAGCGGCTTGCGAAGGCAGAACCGAAATTCCAGAGCGTGTTTGTTCCTGCAGAGCACGGCCCTGGCGTCCCTCTCGCCAGCCCGGCTCCTTCTGGAGAGGAGAGAAAAGATCTCGGGGCAATTAGCAGCGTGACATCACCGGAGGAAGAGGTTGGACTGGGTTTGAAGAATGGTTTCAGTTCGGTTTGTTTGCCTTCCCCTCATCTGATAAGGCGTCTGCTGGGACTGTACCTTGCAGGCGTGCAAATGGTCACCAGCGCAGCGCTGCGGCTGCAGCCTCCGCTTAACTCTTTCCCTGCTCCCTGAAAGGTCCTGGGGGCCGAAAGCTTCCTCGCAAAATCTTTTTCTTCAGTTAGGAGGAGACTTTTCAGTGCCGGAATAACGTGCCTTGAAATTCCCGTTCTTCTTTGGAGATAGTAGTAGTTGTGGGGTCTTATATTTTCTTTTATATAGGATTATTTTACATTTTATTTGATGGAGGATGCATCTTTCAATAGATATCTTTGCTTGTGACAGATAACACGTTAATTGCCAGAACTCACCTGAGCAGTCCTACCTCGATTCCCTCAATAACACCAGTACAAACCTCAGGAGGGACAAAGTAGCACTGATAGGTAATTAAATCATTTTGCCAAATACTTACTGAAAGAGAGAGGCATAAATAATACGAGCCTGTGGGTTGCTCGTGCATATTCCCAGGACTGAGATGGGTTGCAGTGCAAGGAGAAATTTTTAACTTGTTCCATATTAGAAAGCATATCCCAAGCTCTATTCCTAATCAGAAAGATGGTTCTTCTTACCAAAAAAAATGCTTCATTTTTTTTTAAATTCTGTGGTACAGAAAGCATTTTCTTCAATATGTAAGCACAGAATTAATATACCAAAATAAATACTGCACTATGCAATTGTTTCTGATAATTTAAAGGGGGCCAGTTATCACACATGCACAAAATACTCCCATTAGTCACTGATTAATGAAACGAAAACATGTTGTAACTAATTAAATTGTTAAGTAAATATTAAAAAAGCAGCTCTTACTGCCTTTAGGGGCAGATATGAGATAAATCTCAGTTTAGACAGACTCATTTATTTAACAACAGCTTGGATAGACTCACTTCTGGCATCAAAACCAGTCTATTTCTAAGTCTTAGAATAACAAATCTCTTCATATCTGGCTGGGTGGCATGGTTCTTTTGAACGAGATTTTAATCAGTTGTACCTAAGCAAGGCTCTGGGCAAAACCTTTCTAGTCTGCTGTAAAGGAGAGTAAATAGTAGCACTTCACAGGGGTTTGGCGTAGTTTCTTAGTGTAAGGTATGTCAGACAAAATTCACAAACATGCAAAAATGGGTCTTGCTTGCTTTATTTCAAGCTTCCTTGATAAGTTTCTTCTGTGAAACTCTTTCACCTTGATTTTGAGGTGAACTCAAGCAGTTTCACTTCTACAAGAAGAAACTACAGGAAACCTTTTTGTCTATTTTTGAAATTCATACCTAACCATAAAGCCTAGTGCGTTTTCCACTTCTAAGTCAGCGAGAAATGAAAATGTGAGCCTGGCAGAGTCTCTTGTGGGTCCAACTTAACTTGTATCTTAGCATAAAGTTGCCTTACCTGGCTTTCCTCACAAAAGCAGTCGTGACACGTGGTTAAATTTTGTTTCTGCTGCCGGCAGCCTTGCACAGTGAAAAGGGAATTTTCCTGCCAGAGTTCCCGAGTTCTGCGTCGGGCCGTGGGAGCTCTAAGCTCGGTTTTCCTGGTCCGGCTTTGTTTGCACAGAAAAACTGCGTGGGGCAGGCTCAGTTACTGGAATGAAAATCCCTCAAGTACAGAAATTTGACGTCACATGTCAAGACCTCAAGTAAGAATTCACCTTTAGAGAGAGAAACTAATGGAAATGAGTGTATGTCTCTTATTCATGAGTACTTGGATCTTCTGTTTGGGCGAAGGTGTGGGTGTGCAGAGACAGGGTGGGGATGTCTCAGGAGCACTTTTCATTTTTTCCACCATAAATGTGCTTTAGAGCAATCGCGAGGGTGCATCCTCAGCCTTCAGTCGTCCGTCAGAGCCCCTGCCTTGCTGTGGCCAGTGGTGTTGCTCCTGTTACGAACGTGGCTGCTGCTCGGAGCTGTATTTTAGGGGCTCGAATATATGCTTCTCTTGTCTTTAGGATTTTCTCTCGCCCCTGCAACTTTTTGGTGCAGAACAGTACGTGCACTTTACCCTAATTGAAGAACTAGCTGATATTGGTATACTGCCAGAAACAGCATTCTGCCGCAGGGTTTCTCCACCTGCAGAAGAAAATTTGAAAACCCCGAGTTGACCGGTTTTTGCTTCGTATCGCGTTTCAGTGAGGAGGTGTATGATTGAGCGGGCGGTCTGAGTCATTTTAGCGTAAGAGCGTGAAGGGCAAAAGTGACTTGCGCACCCATTTTCTTAATTTAGAGGTGGCCGATTGCTATCGAGCAGCGAGCTTCTCCGAGCTGACGAACCTGCGTTAGCGCGCTGGGAGCCGTGGGAATCGAGAGCAGCCTCCCTTCGGGCTGGGCTCCGGCGTGAGCGACTTCGTCGCATGCTTTCCTTTCGTTAGGGCGCGTTTTTAAGACGTTTGGCTCTGCGCCATCGGATTTGGGAGAGCCTTCAGTAAGCCCCAACGCTTCAAAACAAAAAACAAAAAACAAACAAACAAAAAAAATTTAAAAAGCCGTATCGGTTATGATGGAGTAAGAATTGATGTGGTAATGCCCTTGCTTGTGCTCCTTCACCATGGGCAGATTTTCCTTTGGGATGAGGAGGAGGAAGCAGCTGCGGCGAGGGCCCTGTACGCTTGAGGGGTTTTAGTTTGTTTTTTTTCTCCAAAGGAAACGCCGCTGCAGGGAGATGCGTACGTAAGTCTGTCTGCCTTTCTGCATCAGAGACGGGAACGGGTTAGGACTTGTCGTTTGCTGGGTGAGCAAAGATTGCGTTTCCATCGACAGGTTTCCTGTGGCTCTTGAAGAGCCATCGGAGGCAGAGCGAGCACGGGCTCCTTAAAGCTAAGAGCTGAGATGCTTGAAATCATCTCTTGCGTCAGCAACGAACAGATTTTTGTACGCTCCTTCGGACGGTTACCACTTAGCTCTGCTTACATGAGTTGAGATACCCGAGTTTAGATATCTAGGACCCTTTACGCCCTTGAGCGATCTTGGATTTGTGAGGCAAACGGATTCCAGCGTTGAACAGGGGGGTGAGAAGGAAAAGTCCTTGTAACCCTGGCAGTGTGCTCGTACAGAGCTGTTGGCTCTCGTTTGGGACACAGGGGCAGAATCCCTGAAATTCAGAAGTCCAAATCGAGTGGTAAAGAAATATTTCACTGAAATAAGTACTGGAAGGCTTTCCAAGCCTTTGGAGTTGTTTTGGCCAGTATTGTGTGTTCTTCTGGTGTTACCCTGGTCTTCAGTGCTGGAATCAGACAGAAGTCGTAGTTAAAGGCGAAGTGACTTTTGAACTTGTCCTGTATACCGCATTTAGTCTGGCGCTGATGCTGCTACTGAAAGCTCTTAATTTAGAGGAAAAAAACCCAACTTTGCCATGAATAACACTGTAATAAATTCTTACAGTGCTTCCAAACCCAGAGTATGCACTGTTACACCGAGGTTGTCAGATGCACAAAGCGCTGTATGTAACTCCGTTATTCTATAACTAACCTTACTGCTTTTAGAGGCACATCTGTATCACAGTACAGGCATTTGTTCTCACTTCGGTTAAGCAAGCTTATGCAAAAGAGCTTGTGCTATCTGTTGCAGTGAAGACAAACCCTGGCAGGACAGCATTTTCTTTGCCCTAAGTATTATTATTTATCCAACCATTTTCATGGGTTTTAGCATTTTTAGCCTATCTACTGGAGTTTCTCTTTGGGCATGTGTATGTACAGGAAGGAATGTATTATGGTTGAGACGTAGGGCTGGGAGCCAGGAAGACTTTTTCTGGCTCTGCCACAGATTTTCTGTTCCAATCCTGGCAAAGTTTTCTATGACTTTGTGCTTGAACTTCCCTCCATGTAAGAGCTTGTTCGCTTCCTCACTGGGATGCAAGGCCGTCTTAATTGTTAAATATAGTTTGAAGTCCTTGGATGGAGAACCCTTTATTAAGTATGATATTCAGATAATTGCAGTGGCTAGTGAATGCGATAAAAATGTAGGAAGATTAAAATTTTGTATTTTTAGGTTAGATTCCTGCCAAGCAAAAGGATCTATTAAGAGACTTAATTCCATAAGTCTATGGGGAAGTAGGTACAGAGAAAGCAGGGCTGGAAACTCCAACCTTCTCAGCTACCTTTCAGGATTCGCCTGCTCAGACACTCCTAAGTCACTCTAAGACTGCTTCTGGTAAGGGGCTTACTGCCGCCGTAAAACGCAATGATGGTGTCCGCCTACGGAGACAGTGTGAAGGAGTTAGCAGACTGAAAATTCCCTTTTTCCCCCCCCTTAAAATTTTTCCTGTGTAGTAGGCAAGTCTTTAAATGAACATTATCAGATTTATGGTGAACAGACTATTTTCACCTAGTCAGACTAATCTGCATGACTATTGCATAGCCAGTTAAAGACTCCTCTGTATCAGGAAACTTGTTAGCGTAAATGCAGATGAAACCACACCTACAAATTACAAGTAAAAGTTAAAAGAAAACTGTAAATATTTTCCACTGAAAGTCTGACTGACCTTCTAGAACCAGTTTTCCCAATTAGTTTTTGTTTTACTAGCTATGTTCTAATATATAGCTGCCCAAAATCTTTCAAATATTTAAAAAAAAAAAAAAAAAAGGCAAGAGAAGCTAAAGTGTTTGGGCTCTGAGTCTGTTAGGTTGTCGATAAGTTAAAATAATTTTTCTGTGTGTGTTATTGCTTAAAAAGGGAAAAGGAAGCTCAGAATAAAAT